ATATATTAGGTTCAGGGCTAGGAGTGTAGCTTCCTAGCACAGCTCCTGCCTGGCAAGTGTGAGGACCTGAGTTCAATTCCTGGTATCAAAAAATAAAGGTAGGGGCCGGGGAGATGGCTCAGTAGGATAAGCGCTTTACTGGCAAACTCAAGGATCTGAGTTCAATCCCCGGTTCCGCCAAATAAATAAAAATGATGGTATTAGGTTCATTCCCCAGAAGTGAAACTGGGCATAGTAGCTCATACTTACAATTCCAGCCCCTGGGAGGCTGTGCAAGAAGGGTTTCTGCAGTTCAAGGCCAGCCTGAACCTGGCTCTAATGATGATGATGTAAGTGTAGGAGGACCGTACGACCAACCGGTTCTGCTCTTCCATAGATAGCACAGAAGAACCAAAGTTACATGAATATTGTTTCATTGCTTTTCACAACATGGGAACTATACACAAATTCACCAAGGGTGGGCAAATAGGAAGGATATGTGTCCACCCAAAAGAAGGGATTAGTGCCTGCTAGAAGCTGGGGTGGGAGAACTGCTTGAGGGGCCAGAGTGCGATTGTGGGTGATAGAAACTTGGCACAAGCTAGAAATAGTGGGTGTGCACATGGCGGATGTACTAAATGGCACTGTAATATCTTTTTTTCTTTTTTGAGATAGGTTTTCCTATGTATCCCAAACTGGCCTTTAACTTGGGGCAGTCCTGCCTCAGTCTCCTGCATGCAGAGACTACAAACGTGCTGCCATGCCTGGCCTGGATTGTGCTCTTTAAGAGTTTTATGCTGTGTAAATTTCATTTGAACTTTTTTAAAAGCTTTGTATTCTTTCCTGCATATAAGTTATGAGGTTTGGAGAACTTTGATTTAACAGAAATATCATAGAGACTGGGTATTTGGCTCAGTGGTAGAATGCTTGCCTAGCTAGCTGCAAGTCCTGAGTTTGGTCCTTGGCACCAAAAGCAAAAATAAATCCCACCTCCCAAAAAATAAAAGGGCAGAAATATCATAAACTTTGCTAAGCAATTCATGGGACTTTTTTTTTTTTTTTTTTTTTTTTTTTTTGTGGAACTGGGGATTGAACTCAGACCTTTGTGCTTGCCAGTGAAGCGCTTATTACACTGAGCCATCTCCCTGGCCCCATTCATAGGATTTTTTTTCTAATTTTATTTATTTATGTGTGTGTGTGTGTGTGTGTGTGTGTCCAGCTCAGCCCACCAGGGGGCGGGGCTGGCTGGCATGTGGTGCTGGGGGATTGAACCGAGGTCCCTGTGCTCTAAGCTTGTTCTAAGTAGGTGCTTTAGACCACTGAGCCATCTCACCAGCCCGATTCATAGGATTTTTATGTTTTTTTTTGTTGTTTTTTAAGACATTCTTGCTGTGTTACCCAGGTTGGGCAGCCTTGAGCCCATGGCAGTCTTCTTGCCTCAGCCTCCCAAGTGCTGGGATTATAGAGGTACACCACCATACCCAGCTAGTTCACAGGATTTTTAAATGTTTTTGCTGGTTTCATTTTTCTTTTCTTTTCTTTTCTTTCTTTTTTTTTTTTTTTGTATTGGTTATCAAACACAAGGCCTTACACAGCATGCATTCCTGCACGAGCTACACCTCCAGCTGCACACTGGCTTTTATTTTTGCTCCTCACTGGCTTTTAAAAATACTTGATCTTGGGGCTCTGGGAGATGGCTCAGTAGGATAAGCACTTGACTGGCAAACGCAAGGATCCGAGTTCAATCCCTGGTTCCGCCAAAAGCAAAACAAAACAAAACACAACTTGATGGGGGGGGGGGTTAGCGCAATTGTTTAAGCACCTGCTCATGCAAACGCAGCCAGGCACAGGATACCTTGGTTCAATCCCCCGCTCCGCCCACCTTACCAGACCTGCTCTTAAGGCAGCCTGAACCAGCCAAAAAAGAAAAAAACTTGATCTCATACATTAAGCATTGCCACGAAGGATGCAGCACACAGTTGGACTCCACAGTAGTTCCTTTGTACAGCTCAGTGTCCCTGCAGATTCCTTACAGCCACTCTTTAGAGCACCACGTAACTCAGGTGCATACCCCCTTTGTGATTAATCTTATTCAATACTCTAAACTTCTAGAGAATAGGATTTGTCCGCACCTGTAATCTCAGGACTCTGGGAAGCTGAGGCAGGAGTAGTGTAAATTCAAAGCTAACCTGGGCAATTTAGTGAATTTTGCCTTGTCTCAGAATAAAAAACTTTTTGGTGATGGGAATCAAACTCAGGACCTTATGCTTACCTAGCAGGTGCTCATGCCATTGAGCTATCTCCCCAGCAAATCGTTTGTCTTGTTTGTTGTTGTTTTAATGCGCTGGGGAGGAGCCAGGGAGATGGCTCAGTGGAATGAGTGCTTCCCTGGGCCCGAGTTCAATCCCCGGTTCCGCCAAAAAAAAAAAAAAAAAAGGGCTGGGAATGTAACACAACGTAAAGGCCTTGGATTTAATTCCCAGTACAAGAGAGTTTTGTGTAATAAAGACCTCTTTGGTTGTGGTTCAGTGGAAATGAAGAGCAGAGGATAATTCAGAGGAGCTTAAGGAAGGCAGAGTAGGAGACTGCAATGCCTCGCCTGCTGGTGGTGCACACGCTTGCGGCGAGCCTCTGAGCCCCAAGGATGAAGGCAGCAGTGTATCCAGGCTTCCTCTGTGAAGTGTGGCAGGGTGAGGATGTGCGAGTGATCTGGCTGTAACATCTCCCAGCCCACTGATCGCCAGGGGCAGCTGGGCAGGGTCTCACAGCTCCACGCGTGTCCCTCCAGGAGCTGAAGCCCACCCCCGAGAGGGGGCTGCTTCCATGGTCAGGGTGCACAAGCAGCTGAGCTTCCCTGCTAAGACTGCCAAACAAGCTCTCAAGGTCCAGAATTAGGGTGCCCAGTGAATTGAGGAAAATACCCTGTGGGGAAGGTCTACACAGCGGGTGCAGGAGTTCCCGGCCTCCAGGGCTGCCACTGCCAGTTCCTCACCCCATGGGCTGCAGGAGTAGGGCTTCCTTACCTGGGGCGATTTTCTTTATCTCTGGGCTTAAGATTCTTTTGTGAGCTGAGGGAGTTAGGTTCGTATCTAAGGTCCCTGTAAATCCACAGCTACTGTAGCCAGGACCTTGATTAACTCTTTGATCGTTAATTCTGATGAGATACTGCTAGCCAGGCATGGTAGCCCCAACACTCAGAAGGCTGAGGCAGGAGGGTCACTGTAAGTTCAAAGACAGCCTTTCTGTGTGTCTGTCTCTCAAGACACGATTTTGTAGGAGTCGGAGCTGGGTTCTCAGTCTAGCCCACAAGCCCTCTGATGTCTGCAGTTTCCAAGCCAGGATTCAGTTAAGCTCTATGTCACTGCGAGAGCGCTGGCTCCAGTTCCGTGGGACGCTGGCCAAACTGGGCTTCGGCCCCACAGGGATGCTGCGGGCGGGCGCAGCGCGCCGGCTCTCCAGGATCCCATGTTCGTTTCAGGGCTGGACTTTGGGAGCCGGTGTGCCAGGCCCGGCCAGGAAGCCCGACTTTGAGGGCGAACCCCGCCTGCAGAGCAGGCCCCGCCCCAGTTAGGCCCCGCCCCGTGGTGGGCAGGGTCTTCGGTAGCGGGAACCCGGGTCCCGCCTCTCATTCTCGTCCTCGCCCTTGCCATGGCTCCCGCGCTGCTGCTGGTGCCCGCTGCCCTGGCCTCTTTCGTGCTGGCCTTCGGCACCGGAGTGGAGTTCGTGCGCTTCGCGTCCCTGCGGCCGCTCCTCGGAGGGGCCCCGCAGGCTGTCGGCCCCGGTGAGCTCCGTGCTGGAAGTGCAGGGCGGCGAGGCGGGCAAATGACACGGAGCGTTGCCCGGAGCTGAGCGGGAGAGGGCCGGAGGTGCGACCAGGTCCACGGCACCGCGGAGGATGTGCAGGCGGGCAGCCAAGGATAAGGCAGCTTGAGGCATGAACAAGAGGGCTGCCAGAGGGGCCTCCAGCCGCCTTTCTGGGACTGTCCACCGCGGATTTTCCTGAGTCCTCCTCCTCGGGCCTGAAGGAGGTCTGGGACTTCGAGGACAATAAGCACAGCAGGGGGATGGAATGGAGGCCCTAGGAAGCATTAAGGGACACAAGCAAGGTGGGCAAAGTTCCATCTATCTCCTGACCTTTCGTTCCTTTCCCTGTATTGCCCAGGTCCCCGCCAGGGATGGCTTACAGCCCTGCAGGACCGCACTGTCCTGGCCTCCCTGGCTTGGGACTTGGGGCTTCTCCTGCTGTTTGTCGGGCAGCACAGCCTTATGGCCACCGAAGCAGTGAAGGCATGGACATCCCGGCACTTTGGGGTCCTCCAGAGGTCTGTGTATGTGGCATGCACTGCCCTGGCCCTGCAGGTATGAGGCCCTGAGACGCAGAGAAAAACTCTGGGGAAGGACGCCCCAGGTTGGAGGGGCAGAGTATGGAGAATAAGAATTGAGGGAGTTAATCCCAGTTTCCACTCCTCCACAGGACATAGCCTGTTTATCATTAGTACTTAGCAAGCATTGTCCAAAGCCCGTGATCCCAGCACTGGGAAGGCTGAGGCAGAGTGAGCGAGAATTAGAGCCAACCTGAACTGGGCTGTGTAGCAATTTCAAGGCCAACCTAGAATACAGAGAAAGGCTGTCTCAGGAAAAAAGAGGGGGAAAAATGTGCCTGTCACTTCCTACAAGGATGTGCACGCGCACCTTTGCAACTTGTTTTATGCAGCCTGGCCTCGAGATCCCCGCCCAACTCCTTTTCAGTCCTATCCTTTCTTACATACCACCTCCCTAGATATATCTAGGGAGAGGTTTCCAGCTGCCAGGTTGCCAGTCTTCCCCCAAGGGTGGCTTCAGAGGCGCGCCGTTTAGCCTAGACCCTCGGACAGCTCCCCTCACTCTGCCCAGCGACCTTCGCACAGTAACTATGGGTGATGGTTGCAGAGAGGGGCGGATGTGTAGGCTGATGTAGGCCGGGCCCCTGCAGAGGGGCAGGGTGCTCGATGGCCACCCAGCCTCCTCTCTCCCCCAGCTGCTGATGCGGAACTGGGACGCCGTGCCCAGAGGCCCGGTGCTGTGGGAGGCTCGGGCGGAGCCATGGGCCACCTGGGTGCCGCTGCTCTGCTTCGTTCTCCACGTCATTTCCTGGCTGCTCATCTTCAGCATTCTTCTCGTCTTTGACTACGCTGAGCTCATGGGCCTTAAGCAGGTGAGGCTCCAGGTCCCTGCGTGGGACTATTGTCTGGAAGCCTTACCCATGGGTCCTTGACTTACTTCCTCCTTCCCGGACTTTCTGTTCCTCTTGGCCTTTTCCGGAAAGGGGTCTCCCTTCAGCCTCCCTCAGGGGCCAGCACTCGTGGGCTCCAGGGCTCAGGAAGGTTCCCGGGTCTGATTCGCGAGGCCGTGCCTGGGAAAGGAGAGAGGCAGCTCGGTGGGACGCCGGTCCACGCTGTTTTCCCTCCCTAGGTGTACTACCATGTGTTGGGGCTGGGTGAGCCTCTCGCCCTGAAGTCTCCGCGGGCCCTGCGGCTTTTTTCCCACCTGCGCCACCCGGTGTGCGTGGAGCTGCTGACAGTGCTGTGGGTGGTGCCCACCCTGAGCACCGACCGCCTGCTTTTTGCCCTCCTCCTTACCCTTTACCTGGGCCTGGCTCACGGGCTGGACCAGCAAGACCTCCACTACCTCCGGGCTCAGCTCCAAAGGAAACTCCACCTCCTCTCTCAGCCCCAGGATGGGGTGGAGGAGTGAGGCGCTACAAGCCCTGTTCCTCCTCTCCCTCCTCGGAGTCCAAGGCTCCCCCCACACACACCTGTAATCCCAGCTCTCCCGGGAGGCTGAGAAAGGAGGATGGCCGAGAACTCCAGACCAGCCTGGGCTGCACTGCAAGACGCTGACTTTTAAATTTTTTTCTTTTTAACTTTTAAAAATTAAAACAAACAAACAAACAAAAATTACTCGCTTTAGCGTCCAGCATTGGTGCTTCGGGGCAGCAGCCCAAATCCTGGGCCCGACGGGCTGCTCGAGAAACGCCGCTCGAGTCCACCTCGGTGTCTCCGTCCTGCCTTTCGCCGTCAGCCTCAGGAAGGGGGCCTGACGGTGCCCTCACCGTGCTCAGGGTGTGGACCCCTGACCCCCGCGGGTCCCCGCGCCGTCGCGGGCCCTCCTCAGGGCCCGTCCGGGGGCTGCCGTCGCGGGCTTGCCGGAGACTCCCGCGGCGGGAAGTGAAAGGCAGCCTGGCTTCCCACGTGCGGCTCGGCTCTCCAGCTGCGGACAGCTGGGGAAAGCTCGGCAGGGTGGGCGAGCCCCACCCCGGGCTCCTCCTCCTCCCCTGGGCGGCCCAATCCGCTCCCCGACCCCCGTTCCGCGCCGCACCCCGAACTCTCGGAGCGGAGGACCTGACCCCGGCCGCGGCTCCGCGGGCGCCCCTGGCCCGGAACAAAGGCGGTGTGGCGGGCGCGATGGGAAGGGCGGGCCCGGCCCGAGACAGCTGCAGCCTCCGCCCGCGTCCCCCGAGGCCTTGAGTCACGGCCGCGCCCTGGCCGCGCGGGCCGCAGCAGCAGCAGCAGCCGGCCGATTCCGCGCGTGGACGCCGAGGCCCCGCCCCCGCCCCATTGTGCGGCACAAAGCGCCGGCCGCGCCCGGCCCGGCTGCCGGGTCCTCCTGCTGCTGCTGCTCCTCCTCCCCTTCCTCCCCTTCCTCCTCCTCCTCCTCCTCCTCCTCCTCCTCCTCCTCCTCCTCCTCCTCCTCCTCCTCCTCCTCCTCCTCCTCCTCCTCCTCCCCCTCGGACCGCGGGGTGAGTCGGGGCTCGCGCGTGGGCGGGGGCCAGCGCCCCTTTGTGCGGGGACGAGGGCGGGTGGCGGCAGTCCCGTCCGGGGAGTTTCCGCGGCCCGGCCGGCCCCCAGCGCCCCGCTACTTCGGCGCCTGCCCCGCGCCCCGCGCCCCGCGCGCTCACCGTTCCCGCCTGCCCGCACTCCCAGCTCGCCATGGCCGCCGTCCCGGACTGGAAGCGGCAGCTGCTAGCCCGGCGCCGGCAGGAGGAGGCAGCGGTCCGCGGCCGGGGGAAGGCGGAGCAGGAGCGCCTGGCCCAGATGCCGGCCTGGAAGCGGGGACTCCTGGAGCGGCGCCGCGCCAAGCTCGGACTCTGCCCGGGGGATCCGAGCCCTGGACCCGGGCAGGCGGAGCCCGGCCCTCCCGAGCCAGACGAGTCTGCCGTCCTCCTGGAGGCCATTGGGCCGGTGCACCAGAACCGCTTCATCCGGCAGGAGCGGCAGCAGCGGAATGAAGAGCTCCTCGCAGAGAGAAAGCACGGACCGCCAGATCCCCGAGAGAGGAGACCCGGCTTGGGAGAGCCACGAGACCAGAACCTCAAGGGAAGAGAGGCCAGAGAAGAGAGGCTGAGTCCTCGGGAGGCCAGGGAGAGGAGGCTGGGGACTGGGACGACCCAGGAGTGCAGCTCCACGCCTCTGGACGCCCGAGACTGGAAGCAGAGCCCGGGAGAGGGAGGAGACCCGAACTCCAGGCTGCCCGAGGCTCGGAAGTGGAGGCAGAGCCCCGCCGAAACTCCGGAGCAAAAGCCCGGAAGGAGTGAGGTGACAGAGAGGAGGCTGGGCCCGAGGGAGGGCGGCAGCCAGAACCCGGGCCCGGCGGAGGTCTGCACATGGAGGCCCAGCCTCGGAGAGGCCCGGGAGCAGAGCGTGGTGCAGCTGGAGAAGGCAGAGTGGAGGCTGCACGCAGGACAGAGAGGAGACAGTGGAGAGGAGTGTGGGGGGAGAGAAGAGAGCCCAGCTCGGTGGGTGGCTCCAGAAGAGATTTCGGGGTCCCCAGATACCCCAAGCAGGAAACCTCAGGACAGCATCTCCAGAGGTGTGGAGACGGCAGAACAGAGGCCCAGCCCTGTGGAGGACAGAGGGAGGGGCCTGCGGTCCACCGAGGGGTGGACATGGACCCTGAGCTCCGGGGCAGCTCAAGATTGGACAACCAGGGACACAGACACATCAGGCCCGAAACCAGGACCACTGGGGCTGGCTGAGCAGCTGCTGGAGCCTCAGGGTGTGGAGGCTGGGGAAGGCGAGGCCCAGGAGGCCGAGAAGGAGGAGCAGGAGGAGGGGGCTCAGAGCGGGCCTCCCGGAGCCCCACGGGACAGCAGCTTGACGCCCGCCCCCCTGCCACCAGAGGACGCTGGGACCGGAGCAGGCCCGGGGCAGCAGCAGGAAGAGGAAGTGGCAGTGCTGCAGCCCCCACCCCCAGCCGCGGCTGCCCCCCAGCCGTCGGGGGATCCCCTCATGAACCGCCTGTTCTACGGGGTGAAGGCAGGCCCGGGGGTGGGGGTCCCGCGCCGCAGTGGACACACCTTCACGGTCACCCCCCGCCGCCCGGTGCCCCCAGCCAGCCCAGCCCCAGGCGAGGCTACAGCCCCCGGCGCTGGGAAGAAACGCTACCCGACTGCTGAGGAGATCCTGGTTCTGGGGGGCTATCTCCGGCTGAGCCGCAGCTGCCTTGCCAAGGGGTCTCCCGAGAGACACCACAAACAGGTAGGGGAGCGGCCAAGCCAGGCTGCGTGGAGCCCCCTGCCCCTTCTCTGCAATACCTCCACTTCTGTGCTTATCTCCCCTGTCCTCTCTCTGCCCAGCCACCTCCCGGCACACCCCCGCCTGCCCGGGGAGCTGTGCCTTCCTCTGCCTTGCTGTCAGGATGGTCATCCTCAGGGTGTGCCTGGGCGTGCCAGGCCGGCTGGCAGGAGGCGCACAGTGACAGCTCCTGGTTTCAGGTGCAGCTTTGGAGGTGCAGGGCTTGAGGCCTCAGCTGGGAGGCAGGTAGGGGTCTTGCCAGCCCAAGGAGGAGGAGGGTCGCCTGAGTGGAGACGTTGGGGACAGAGGGAGAGGCCCCACAGGATGGCTGCCAGAGAGCACAGACATGGCTTTTGAGCCCCAAGCAGCCAAGGCAGAGGCGCACACAGAGCCGATTGATGTGGGTGACCCTGGGGTCGCACCCCCAGCTGGACTGAGGTGCACACAGTGCATGCATGCCCTCTCCAGGGACAAGAGGAGCCTTCTCTTCCCAGTCCCCCACCCGCTGCCCTGTCCTTCCGCCCTGGACTTCCCCCCAAAGGCCCAGTCCAGGCCCAGCCCTTGGCTTTCCCCTTCCTTCCCGACACCCTGCATCTCCCTCCTCTTGGGGTAGAAAATAGAAGGCACAGGGCTGAGAGTGGGGACAGGGCTGGCGTCACAGTGGGCAGAGGTTACAATCGGCCAGGGATGGGGTGAGCAGATGTCTGCTTCCTCCATCGCCCTCGGCCTCCTTGGAGCTGTGGGTGCTGGGCACCTTGTGGCCCTTCATCCCATGTGTTCCTGGCCCCAGATTTGGCTTTCGTGTCCTCAGCATCTGGTGGAAATCACAGGGACTAAGGAGACGTGTAAAGAGCCTCATTCAATCTCACAGCAGCTTTTAAATTCCTGCCCTGGGAAGCTGGTCCACACCGAGGCCCCAGGGCCAGGCAGGTGGGAGGTAGGAGGAAACTCCTGGGTAATGTTGGGAGTCATGTCCGGCGGCGGTGCTGGCTCAGGGAAAGAGCAGAGGAAGGCTGCAGGCTGGGGCCCCAAGGCCAGGGGCTGCTGGCCAGCAGGGAGCACTGCTGGAGACCATACCTGGGTCAGTGAGTACGGCCGGAAGCAGATCGCCCAAACAGGAAGCCTGGGTGGGGGCCGGAAGGCTGGCTGGGCTCGTGGGGGACTCCGGGCCTCAGGCCTGGCAGAACTGTGCTCAGGATGTGGTGAGCAGCAAGGAAGCGGCCCCAGGGGTTGGGGCGCAGCGGCATGGCTCCCCACCCAGCCCTGTGCTCCCTGCCTTCCCACTAGGGCCTCGGCCCCCGTACTGCAGCATCCTAGTTGCTCCTGTCTGGACATCAGACGCATCCCCGCCCCTGCCCGCAGGGGAGACCTAGCCATGTAGCAGTCCTGGGCACATGGCCGCGCCCTCCCCACCCAGCCCGTGACCTTATATAGCTGGTGGCAGAAGCGGGTGAGTCAGCTCCCGTCCCACTCCCCACCCCCGCAGGCTGTGCATTCCTGAGCAGCTCCGTCAGAAGATGGGGTGGGGGCCAGAGAGAGGCTGGGGGGGCCACAAAGATACTCCAAAGAGGACCCTGGAGAGAAGGGGCCCAGAAATGTGTCCGTCACAGAGTCAGTGGGGCTGTGGGCCATGTTGCTGTCACCGGGTCCCACCTGCCTTTCCAAGGACACAGCCCGGCCCTTACAGCCAGGGTCCTCTGGGACCTCATCTGAGCTGTGGACAGACCCTTACTTTAGGCCCTGGACAGCGGATAAGGACAGCTGTCCTCCGTCTGAAGGTTCCAGATCAGTGGAGTCAACTAAGAGTGAATCAGAGATATTCCAAGAAAAAAAATGACTGACAGACCCCCCCCCCCCAAGACAGGAAAAATGCAAGGTGAGGTCTGCCTGAGCTACTAGCAAGTTCCCAACTAGCCTGGACTACATAGTAAAACCTAAAAAAAGTCATGGCCGTGTTGAACATGTATAGACTTCTTGTCGTTCTGCCTTACACAGTATAGCACTTACACGGTGCCAAGCCTTGTAAGTAATTTAGAGTTCACCTAAAAGTATACCAGAGGAGGCATAGTGTTGCACATTTATAATCCTAGCACTTGGGAGGCTGAGGCAGGAAGTTCACTGCAAGTTCAAGGCTGGCCTGATCTGCACAACAAGACCCTATCTCAAAAGAAAAACGAAAAAAGGACATGGGAGGGCTGAGTATGTTTCATGCAACATTACAGCTGTGTGTGATCCTGAGGATTGAGCCTGGGGGCTATCTGTAGTGAGCTACATCCTCAGTTTTTTGCTTGTCTTTTTGAGCCAGTCTCACTATGCAGTTCAGGCTGGCCTTGAGCTCACTTTGTAGCCCAGGCTGGTCTTGAACTTGCAACAATCCTCCTGCCTTCGTTAGCCTCTAACTAGTTAGCGTGCTAGCACTGGGATTAGCATGTCTGACTTCTTCAGTTCTTTTTACCTTCCAAAATTGCCCATGCTGGCCTTAAACTTGCTGTCCTCCTCCCCAGGGACGGGGACGGGGAATGTGATCATGGGAAGCTGTGGGAGCAGGGCTGCGTGGCCTGGAGGGTCAGCAGGCCCAGGGCTGAGGTGTGCAGGCTCAGAGCCAGGCACCCGGCAAGGCCTTATGCGTCTCTGGAGGAAGTGACCCAGGCGGGGCCCAGCAGAATCAAGGTGGGAGGCCCACGCACATTCAAGGGACCCCGGCCAGTGGTGGTGGCTGGAGAGAGCAACAGTGCTGGAGCCCGCCCAACACGTCCCAGCCCGCTTTGTGCAAGGTTGCCTGCCTGGCCTCCAGCAGACGCCTGGGAGGCCCAGCAGTCTGTTAGGACCCTTCACCTCCTAATCCCTGAGGCTCAGAGTTAATCCCACGCTGCTCCTGCCCCTGCCCTGCCCCTGCCTGGTTCCACAGAGGGCAGAGCAGGCGGCTGGTGAGAGGACAGCTGGGCTGCAGCACACCCAGGCCTGTGGGCTTCCTGTCTCGCTAAACTGGGGGCTGAGCCCCCACTGGGAAGGTGAGGGGACGGGCTGTGGCGGCCGTCCCAGCAAGACTCCTCTCCAGACAGCTGGCTCCTGTTCACTTCTGGGACACCCCAAGGTGCCCACAAGTTGTCTTTTTGTTTTTTGTTGTTGCTGTTTGTTTTTTAAGACAGCCTCACTATGTGGCCCAGGCTGGCCTCCTACTCGCACAGATCCTCCTGCCTCAGCCTCCCTAGTGCTAGGATTGTGGGCATGCACCACTGCGTGGGCACTGAACGATTTTAAGATAGGAATGTAGGCCTGGGAAACTGCATGGAAAGCAAAGCTGGATCCCAGAAGGGACTGGGAGGGGAAAGCCTCGGGTTGCAGATCCCGACCCCAGGCCACCTGCGCCCTGCGGCCTGCTGAGCACACCTGTCCCCCTCCCCTTCTGCAGCTCAAGATCTCCTTCAGCGAGACGGCCCTGGAGACCACGTACCAGTACCCCTCGGAAAGCTCGGTGCTGGAGGAGCTGGGCCCTGAGCCCGAGGTCCTCGTGGCGCCCAGCGCCCCAGCAGCCCCGCTGGACGAGGAGGAGGAGGAGGAGGAGGACGAGGAGCCGCCGGCCGGGCTGCGCGGCGGGCTGCGCACCAAGGCCCTGCTCGTGGGTGAGCGCGGGGCCGAGGGCGCCCCCTGGTGTCACCGTGCGCGCGGGACCTGCACACGGGAACCCTCCCCGCCCAGCCGGCCCTCGGGCGTCCCGGGGTGGGCAGAGCCGCCCGCCGGGGTGGGCGAGCCGCTGCTCCTCTCACCGGGCGGAGGAGGCGGGGAGAAAGGACCGGGCTTCCGTTCTCAGCGCCGCGGCGGCGGGCACGAGAGCAGTTCTTTTTACTTGGTTTTCTTGAGTGCTGCACAGGCCTGCAAGTCGCGATCCTTTTCCTCAGCCTCCCGATGGCTGCGATTACAAGGAGGCACCACGGCCGGCAAGAATGAATGTTTTATTTATTAGGTACAGGGTCTCACTACGCAGCTCGGACTCACACGATCCTCCTGTATTCAGCCTTCCCGGAGCTGGGATTAAAGACGTACATCAGTGCGATTCTGTCTGTGGTCGCTCAGCCCGCCCTTGCCGTGGGACTGGCGGGGCGTGTAGTGCGCGATTGAACCACAGTCCCTAAACTTGACCTAAGCTTGCTTAAGCAGTCGCTTTAGTCTGCCGAGCTATTTCGCTGGCTGCGAAAGGATGATTTTTGTAAAGAATTTAGAACCAAACCAGGCATGGCGGCGCACACCTGTAATTCCAGCCAGTTCTTGAGAGCCTGAGGCAGGAGGTTCACTGCGAGTTTTGAGGCCACGAGTGTGGGCTACCTAGCAAGACCCTGGTTCAAAACAAAACAAAAGAAAACATAGCTAGACATTAAATTACTTAACTTCTCCTGGGGTTATTCTGAAATTAGACAAAGCATAACAATGTCTCAACCAGGCGTGATGGTGTCACACCTGTCACCCCAGCACTCGGGAGGCTGAGGCAGGAGGATCACTGAGTCCAGGCCAGCCTGGACTATGTGGGAAGATGCTGCTCAGTAAATAAGTAGTTAAGTGACATAAGCACGCCTAGTGCAGGTCGGGAGACGGCACAGGCCGCGGTTACTGGTGGGTGAGTCCGAGATGTAAAGCGCTACTGTGGGACTGCGCCCGCCGGGCAGGGGCATCACCGGGCTTTAGCTCAGTGTCCCCTCTCGTTCCCCCTGCAGATGAGTCCTGCCGGCGGTGACGACCTCCAGCACAAGTGTGGCCCACCTCCGGCCTCCGGACCCCAAGATGCGCCTGGGGGAGGGCTCCGACCCGCGCCGCCTCGCTGCCCACCCGGGGGAGCGCCCTGCCACCCGTGTTTACGCGCCTGCCCACCCACGCTGCAGTGCACGCCCGCCGGTGTCCGGCGGGGTCACAGCCGGCCTGCCGCCGACCATGAGGGGGCCGTCCCAGCCCGCTGTGCGCCCTTCTGGGAGCGGCCCGGGGCTTGGCTTCCTCCTGCTTTGCTCAGTATTACTGTGCCTCAGTTTCTCCGAGAGGGAAGGCTGAGTCTCACCTGTGCTGCTGGAGTTGCTGTATTCTCCTCCTAGCGGCGCACAGCGGAAGTGCAGCGGCGCGGTCCCGGGAGCTCCCGGCTGCCTCCCCTGCCGCTCGCTCGGTCAATGGCCAATTGTGTTTTTTTTAACTTTACATAATAAAATGGAGTCCGCTCCAGTTTTCCTGCTGTTTCTTCTTTAGGAACAAAATATGAAAAGGAGGGGAGGCTGGTGACTGCAGGAGGGGAAATGATGAGGGAGGAGCCAGGCACTCAACACTGACTTACAGGGAGTCTGGGCACTGGGGAGGCTGAGGCGGGAGGATCGCTAGGAGCTGGAGGTCAGCTGGGCTACAAAGCGAACTCAAAGGCCGCCTGAAATGCACAGCGAACTGTCTCAAAAAGGGAGGGGGCGGGGAGATGGCTCGGTAAAATAAGCGCTTGCCTGGCAAGCCCAAGGGCCTGAGTTTAATCCCTGGTTCCGCAAAAAAAAAAAAAAAAAGTCTCTGGGAGCTGTGTGTGGGTATTATGCCAGGGAGCCGAAGGGCTGCACAAGGGCAGTGGAGGGGCCCACCAGGCCCCACATGTGCAGAGAACCTGTTTTGATCGAGTTCACCGCAGCACCCCAACTTGGCACCTGGCAGACAAAATTATTCTAGAACAAGAGTCAACAAGGAATGGGCAGGACAAGGTAAGGACAGGAAGCAGAGATCAGAGGCACAGCTGGCTGCAACAGGGGCAGGCAGGGAGTGACAGCAATCCAGGAGCTAAGCCGCGGGACACTGGCCTGAAGATCCCACATTACAAACAGTAAATCTGAGATGGGTGCAAAATGTGGTATAGAAAGGCAGTTTCCTGCCAAAGGTTCTCCTCTGACAGTGGATTTTGTATTCCTAAAGGTTAAGAACCATCTAGAATCCATAGCTTTGCACCCCACTTATAGTTACCTTTTTTTTTTTCCTGGTTCAAGGAATCTCAGTCTACAAATGTAGAACATTGATGTTTTACCCATTAGAGGGTTTTTTGTTTGTTTGTTTGTCTTCAAAATGAATTCTCAGGGGCCAGGGAGATGGCTCAATAGAAGAAGCACTTGCCTGGCAAGCAAGTGCAGGAATCAGGTGTGCACCTCGGCGCCTGGCTTGGGATGAACTTCTTTTTTGTCAGAACCGCGGATTGAACTCAGCCCCTTGTGCTTGCCAGGGAAGCGCTTATTCCACTGAGCCATCTCCCTGGTCCGGGCTCATTGTAGCTCTCCAGACTGGTGAGATAAATGAGTGGATACAAACCTGCCATTGCAGGTTGCTTAGACTACTAAGAAGTCCTGTCTTGGCTTGGTGAGATACCTTAGCGGACTAATGCGCCTGCTTAGGCAAGCGCAGGGATGGGGGTTCAATCCCCAACACCACATGCTGCACCAGCCCCACCCCTAGGGTAGGCTGAGCCAACCACAGAGTCCAGGTGTAGTGGTCCACGCTTGTAATCCCAGCACTGGGGAGGCTGAAAACAGGAACACTATGAGTCCAAGTGGGACCCTGTAACAATCAAATACATAAGAATAAATAAATAAAATAAATGTATGATTTGCATACCCCGGGCCAGGGAGATGGCTCAGTGGAATAAGTGCTTCCCTGGCAAGCGCAAGGGCCTGAGTTCAACCCCAGTTCCGCAAAAACAAACAAACAAACAAACCCCACTTTACTGAAACACAAAATACACTAGATAAATTAAATGGTGTCAGAAGTCCTCAGTGTACTGGGATGTACAGGCAGACCAAGGACCTCAATTAGTGCCTAATTAGTAAAGATCCTAATCAGCGCAGACCCAGGAAAGCCAGGGCAGGAAGTGGGAGATAGCAGCTGTGGGTGGGTGTTCCCCAGTGCATCCAAAACGTCAGGAGCCCTCCTGTGGACGCCGACCCGAGTCACACTTTCACCTTCTTTACAGCTAATTAATCAGAAAGGTACAAAGCAGAGCCGAATCTCAGCCAGGCACAGTGTCAGATTTTACGTTTATTCACTCACCTGTCTGAGACAGTCTTGTGTGTAGACCACACTGCTGAGGACAGGGTGTGAGGCAGAAACCTGAATCCACCCCACAGCAAAAGTAAATTACAGGCTGACTCCTGTGGCAGAAGAACAGCTGAGAGCACGTGTCAGTACGAGGCGTAAAGGGGTTCATTAGGATGAGATTTAAAAGCACACATTGAGGGGCTGGTGAGATGGCTCAGTGGTCTAAAGCACCTACTTCGAACAAGCTCAGCAAAGCACAGGGACTGCAGTTCGATCATGCGGGCCAGCCCCGTCCCCTGGTGAGCTGAGCTGGTCACACACACACAAATAAATAAATGTTTAAAAAAAAAAAAAGTAAAGAGGACTCATAATAAATAAATAAAAAATAAAAGCACACATTGAAAGAAACGAGTCCCTCAGCGCTTTCTGACTTGCTGACACAAGGTCTCTCCGAGCCGCTCGCCGGACCCGCCTCGCGATGATCCCGCCGCCCGCGGAACACGCGCACTCACTTCCCGAACGACGGCGGGAGCGAACCGCCAGCACCTAAGTCGGCGGAGGCGGTGGCAGAAGCGGAAACGTGTCCCGGAACGCTCCTGCGAGATTTGAGCTCGCTCGGACACCGTAGCGCGAGGCGGAAGTGGAACAACCCCTTCCGGCTTCGCTTCGGTACCGGACGGCGCGGTGCCGCTGAAAACCGAGGCCGAGGCGCTGCGCCGGCCCTTGAGGGCATCTGAGGCCTCGCCCGGGCTCCGGGCCTTCGGCCGGCCCGGTGTCCGCGGGGCCGTGTGCCCGCCGCGGGTGGGCGCGGGGCGCGGCGGCCATGGCGGTGCCGGCGGCCCTGGAGCGCTGGGTGCAGGAGGAGCTGCACGCCGTGCTGGGGCTGAGCGAGCGGCATGTGGCCCAGTTCCTCATCGGGACTGCGCAGCGCTGCGCCTCGGCCGAGGAGTTCGTGCAGCGCCTGCGCGACACCGACACCCTGGACCTGGACGGGCCGGCGCGGGACTTCGCGCTGCGGCTGTGGAGCAAGGTGCGGCGGGCTGGGGGTCTGCGGGCGGCCGAGACTATGAGGGGTGGAGCGGGGTGAGGGCCTGGCTGCGCTCAGCTCAGCCGGGAGCGCTTGCTTCACTCGCTCTTGGCGCCAGGTTCAGAAAAGCCAGCAGATCCGAGGGCTGGGGTGTGGTGTGTCTGCTGCCCATCACCAGTCTGTCCTTGAGTTCTGGTCTTGTTGCAGAACAGCGCTAGTGCGCATCTGTAATCCCGGCTACGCAGGAGCCGAGGCAGAAGAATCACTGATTTGGGGCCAGGGGCCAGCGTAGTCCATTTAGTAAGATTGTGTCTCAGAATAAAATAAAAAGGCCTGAGGATGCATTGAACTGCCTGGCATTTTTATTTATTTATGTGTGTGTGTGTGTGTGTGTGTGTGGCCAGCTCAGTCCACCAGGGGGCGGGGCGGGCTGGCATGTGGTGCTGGGGGATTGAACCGCAGTCCCTGTGCTTTGCTAAGCTCTAAGTATTAGGTGCTTTAGATCACTGAGCCATCTCACCAGCCCCTGCCCGGCATTTTTGAGGCCCTGGGTTTATCCCTCATTGAATAAGGGTTTTTTTTGTCTTTTTTTTTTTTTTTTTTTTTGTTCCTCGAATGCCTTCAGGGCACTTTTGGCCAGCTGGAGAGGTGTGAGGTTTGAACTCCAGCAACCTGAGGCTGACAGCATTGTGGAAGCAGCCACTTAAAGGCCTGAGCTAGGGCCAGGCCCCCTTATCCCTCATTGTTGATTGTTGGCTAGTCGTTTATTTATTTTTTTTAATATTTATTTTTATTTATTACATTTATTATTTATTGTGTGTGTGTGTGTGTGTGTGTGTGTGTGTGGCCAGCTCAGCCCACCAGGGGGCGGGGCTGGCTGGCATGTGGTGCTGGGGGATCCAACCGAGGTCCCTGTGCTTTGCCAAGCTTGTTTCAAGTAGGTGCTTTAGACCACTGAGCCATGTCTCCAGCCCCTGGCTAGTCGTTTATTTATTTATTTTGTATTTTAGGGAAGGGTCTACAGGGTGTTCAGGGTCTCACTACTAGATCAGCCTCAGTGATTCGCCTGTTTACAGCCTCCCAAGAGCTGGGATTACAGGCTCTAGTAGTTCGTTTCTTCTTCTTTTTTTTTTTTTTTTTTTGGCAGAACCAGGGATTGAACTCAGGCCCTTGCACTTGCCAGGGAAATGCTTATTCTACTGAGCCATCTCCCCAGCTGGCTGGCTGGCTTGCTTTCAGATAACCCTTGTAAGGGGCAGTGAGATAACTCAGGAGACTAAATGCCTCGTTAGGCAAGTGCAGAGACTGGGGTTCAATCCCCGGTACCATGTGCTGCTCTGGCGACTTAGGCTGGGCATGGTGGTACACATGTGTAATCCCAGTGCTGGGGAGGCTGAAAACAGGATCACTACGAGTCCCAGCTGCATAGTGCGACCCTGCACCAAATACATAGTGATAATCACAACAGCAACCCTTGTAGCACATCCTCTTTGGGTAGCAGTGTCTTAATCCTTGGGAAGAACAGAGCTATGAGAAGGGTGGAGCAGCTGATAGCTGAATGTAAGCCTGTGAGCTCTAGGAGAGCAGCGATTACGCTCTTTTTTGGTGTTGGACTTCGACTCCATAGTGTGCAACCGTCGCGTCGAATCCCTCACCGCGTTGCCAGGGTGAACCTCCGTGCAGCTGGGTTCCACCTGGCCAAGGCAGGGTTTGTGTCCTCTGTG